AATATATTTTTTAAATGTACGGTGGACAACAATGCGAGTCTAAAGTTTCCACTTCCGGCAGCCCACCTCTACCAAAAAGAAAAAAAAATGTATTGCATTTAGTATAGGGTATTAGTACTACTGTTTTTGCGTATTGATATCATCATCATCATCATCAAAGTGCCTTTATTTGTGCCAATGAACAACCAACAAAGGTCTACAATATGAGTGCTATGGAAATACCTTCATTTGGGGGGGGGGCAATTTTAGTAATATTGCTCGATACGGACGTCTTGTTTTGTGTTACTAAATAAAAAATAAAAAAATATATTATTCAATTTAAAAACGTGCAACATTTTATTGTTTCTTTTTCTTCTTTTAAACGAGCAGAGGCCTTACGTAAATCAATATGCAGATATTTGATATATTTCATCTGACATGAAGTGTTTTACGCTTCAGCGGTTCTTTTCTTGCCGATGATACATTACATTATTTAAGAATTTAGAAATGCGATGGAACCAATAAACGAATGTCAAGAATGATTTTATTTTATCTTAGACCAGGGGTTTTCAAACCTCGGCCCACGGATGGCCGTGGTCGTTCCACTGACGCCCGGCCCACAGCCCGCGGCCCGCTGCTACCAACGCAACAAATAAGTGCTCGTAAAAAAATAAGTTCCGCGACGGGCACCAAAAGCGCACACGAAGATATCAGAATGAAAAAAACTGTAGCGTTGTACGAATATTCGAATTTTCTAGTAGTAAAGTTGGAATAATAGGCTATTCGATGGTCACTTAGAGTTGAACTTTGGTATTCGTATTTTTTCGAAATGTTGACCGCGGCGGGTTAGCCCTGTAGACCGCGCTTCTGACTGAACATCTGTGCACGACGGACAAGAACGCCCGCGGAGCTCGCTTCCACGAGTGTTGTTTCTCCACAGTACACCGGTGTTCGCTAAAAACCGCGCACAACGAGGCTAACCCATCGCGGTCCAGTTCAACACTTCGAAATTCGCACAAATATTGCGGTCACGTTTGTAAAAAAAAAAAAATGAAAAATAAAGCCGACTTTAAAAGCAGGATGGTGCACGCGCGCGCGGGGTGTGTCTAAAAAGAAACGAAAACTTCGTGAATATTGATATTTACACTACAGTAAAATTTTCAATATTCCATTGTGGCTCTCATGCAAGAGTATAGTTGGGCAGATATATCCTGACAACCTACGTTCATTGGTCATGATCGTCGCTTGTTTCTTTATCAAATTCTAGATTTAAAAAGATTATTTGCATATTAAAAGAACACTCACAAACCCCTCAATTAGGTAAGGCTGGGCATCTCTCTGCGGGGTGCAAGTACGTCTACTTCTTACACAGGGGTTCCGATAATGTTTGAACGCCAAGCTCTTATTGACTGATTGAAAAAAAAAAAAAAAAAACAATTGTGGGTACACCTCAAGGCCTTTCCGAATGTGGGTAGCTTTCACGATTGTGAGTAGCCTTGAGGTCTACCCACAATCCTTTCAATAAAAGCCAATCACAGCTCGGAGTAATTCTGACGTCACCGCAACTCCTGGGCAAGAAACAGAAAATTTGATCTAGGTTTAATTTTATGTAAAATGCATCGCGTACTTGCCATCCCCGTGTAGATAATTACATTTCTGAGGTGACAGTCTATAAATATAGCTAGATAAAATTAACTTCGCTTAGATATGGACAAGTGGAAGCTTGGGAACAACCTTTACGAGTTCAGATGGGTTTTCGTTTAGGCTTGGTGCAGTAGCGAAAAGCTTGAAGAAACTCTTCGATATTCGGTTTGAAAATATTCGGCGAAAACCATTATTCGCTTCGAACTCAAAATCCACTATTCGCAGATGCCTTTGTAAACTGCACCAAAACGCAGGTTCTTTTCTCATACTATTAAATATGCCATAATATTATATACTATATACGTATTGTTATCACCAGAATTACAATTCGTAGTTCCCTGCTTCATGTCTGCGTAACTATAAAAAAAAATTTTGTTTTTCTTTGTGTTCTCGTGTATATCGCGCAGAGTGATCTGATAAGATCTACCATTTTCATTCTTGTTCTGCCCGGTCGGAATATTCCAGAGTTCCTATGCGCATTAATTTATATCTGGTCAGTTCTTAGGGGTCACAATTATTTTTTTAATATCCCGAAGAGTAAAATAGTTTATTTCTTTAATTTTTGCTTCAGCTTAATGTTGTCGTGTTTAAATGCGTATTATCTTTCCTAATTTCCATTTTTATTATCTTTCCTAATTTTTGGCATTCGGACTGCCACAGGTCCTCAATCCGGACCCCCTAGCCAAACGTTTGCAGACCCCTGCCCTAGACCACACCGAGTAGGGAAAGTAGTGTTCCATAGCAAAGGATTCGGAGCGCATTTTAATAAATCCCGCTAACACGTGCAACCCAAGGAAAACCTGGCTCTCATGCAGAAGTATATATATGTATATTTATATATTTGTTTTACATTCTATATGTGATTTATAGACGAATGTGAGCATTCCGTTATTCATCCGGGAGGGTGAAAAATTTGTAGGCCATGACAGAAGTTTGTTGACAAGCAAAATATACCAAAAAGAAGAGAGAGAGAGAGAAAAAAACGAGATGTAGAAGAGGCGAACATTCAGAATGGCAGTAAATCTCGGACGCGTGAATATATGACAGCCACCCTTCGGATGGTTTCCGCCGCATGTGAGAACTTCTAACATTTTTTTTTTCTTTTATATTTCTTTCGGCACGTCGTAAGTTTTGAAATCCTGGCTGGTAGTTTCACATTGCTACGAGATGCGCCCGAGGATGAGAGAAAGCGAAGTAAAGGATGAACACTGAACCAAATACTTCACGGAACATTAAATCATTTGGCATTTTAAGATTTAAAAAAAAAAAAAAAGAAATAATATAAACATATATGGACTGCTTTTGGGGATATATGACTCAGCTTGTTTTTCTTCTCAACGCATCCCAGAATATCACAAATCTGGCCTTCCCCGAAACCGACTTTTTGTTTGTTTGTTTATGCAGTATGTCTTTCGTTTAGTTTCTGTTTTTGTGTTGTTTCTTTTTTTATTTTGAAGAGCATGGAGTGATATGGCTTCTGAAGTAGGATTTCTATTTGCAGCCACAAAAAGAAATACGTTTTAAGCATGTTATTAAATTCAATCGCAGAGTGAGAATTGGAGTAGTGTAGTTAAGGGCGTGTCTGAACTCAGTATAAATAATGGAAAGGAATGCAAATAAACACAACGCGAGAATTAAGCTCAAATTCAACGAGGTAAAGGGATGCTGAACCGAAATTTGGAGCTCACAAAACAAAGTTGGAGCGATAGGCGAGACGCTCCAAAACTAAAAAAAAAAAAAAAAAAAAAAACGGAACAAAAAAACATCCCTGATACAGCGATAGCTCTAACGGATGGCCGTATTTTTTGGAAAAGAAGAGCGCGAGTGAACACGACCGGGGAGGCCGACGAGACACGCGACGTCGCCACTCTCATCCCCTCTCCTCTTCGCTTCGTCCCCTCGAGCAGGTGAACCGAAGCGAGGAGGAGAGAAACGAGGTCGCTTCCCCTCATTCTCAACTGTTCGAAGAGAATCGTGACGTCACACTCCTCGATTGATCGCGCTCTCCTTTTCCAAACATACGGCCGTCCGTTTGAGATATCCATGTATGAGTGATGTTTTGAAGTTCGTAGCGTCTCGTTCAACGCTTGTGCGGCCTTATTTTGCGAAATCCAAAATTCGGTTAGAATACGGCTATAAAGCACATTCTTAGCTAAAAAAAAAAAAAAGAACTGTCACATTTACATAGATGTGTCTCACTTAGTCATAAGGTGCAGTCGACAACCGGCACCAAGGGTTATTTCGAGCGCGAACAGTGGGAAACGCCGGTATTAAGCCACGTCATTGGTTTCAGTTACGCTTTCAATGGCGGATATTAAAAATTCCCAGACACGAAAACGACTAAATTGAACATTTATATTTAAATCATTAACGCTTAATAAAAAAGTGGCCGTGTTCTATGATCATAGTAAGTATAGAAATCAGCTATAAATAACGAAATACCGAGAATGAAACATGGCCAATTTGAATTACGTCACGTATACCTCGGTGACATTTTTTTTTTGTGTTTGATTTATGGTGCGTTTTTTCATCAAGGACAGCCGGTGTAAAAACTGCGAAGCATTTAGTTTCATTTGTAATGTATTCTACTGGCTCGTCGTGTACAATAGACCGATCTCACCAGCTATACTCGTACTTATTATACAACGCCGTCAAAGCTGCTGGCGCGAACATGTGGTTTGATCTCACAGATATACCCGTATTCACCAGGCGCGACTAACTAGCGCCGTTTTAAGGTTAGTAGCACGACTAAGTAGTCGCGAGCTAAACAAGAAATCCGCGACTAACAAGCGATTATGTTCTGCGGTATTCACGAGCGCCGATTTGCTCTGTGCGAGCGGGCGACTATCTAGTCGGGAGTTACACGGCGGAAGTGACGTCAGCGGCCTTATCACGCATGCGCTTAGGCCCTACCGGAAAAAAAAAACCGGATGTCAACAACGCGACGCGCACAGTTGACATCCGGTTGTCGAGTTTAGCCGACAGAATCCAGTTCAATCCAATCCGACATCAGCCGTCGCGCCAATTTGGTCAGGTGTTTTGGTCGTGCTTTGTTTTGTGCGTGATGGGTTCGTCCACCGTTCGTTCGTCCTCGGCTCAGAAGCAAAAAAGACCGCGAGGTGAAAACTGGGACCAGACGGAGAAGTTAAGGCTCTTGGATCTGATTCTACCTTACGTTGCTGTCATCGAGGACAAGTCGAACGACCACGAAGTCAACGTACAAAAAAAGAAGGCCTGGCAAGTAATTGATTCAAACTTCAGAGCGGGGTCGACAACGAAAGTTCGCGACCTCGATCGTATCAAGGAGCATTGGAGACGCATGAAGCTGACAGCAAAAAAGAATTGGCGGGATTACTCCGAAGAACTCTCGAGGACGGGAGGTGGTGCACCACCGAAGGAGCCATCCGCCGTGGACACCGCGATAAAAGACGCTCTCCCTCACGAATTTGTTAGAGACACGAGTGCTTACGACGACGACGTGGAAATGGACGGAGAAACGTGAGTTCATCGAGTTATTCTACTTCGTCCTTATAATAAATGGGAAACCCTACTTTTTCACTTTTTTTTAGAACGACCGCACCAGAGCAACGTTTCGACTGCGTCCAAGAAGATTGTGTATTGGTGGAAGAGGCCACACTGGAGCACGTACCTACACCAGTGGAGTTGCTGCTAAGCACGTATGTCCTACTTTTGGGTGTATTTAGAATATAAATAATAAATAAATATTTTTCTTATCAAACTTTATTGCACAGAATTCAAAATTGGCTAGGTATTTTCATTTCTTGATATTTCCTACAAAAATGATGACGACGCATATGGAAGAGTAAAAGAATTTCACCAGTGCACACAAAAAGACGATTACATCCTCCCCCCCCCCCCCCCCCCAAAAAAAAAAAATTATGAAGATGCGAACCTTTAGTGGATTTGTTAGCTGCGAACAATAACTAACCAAGTATGGGTGCTAGCCAAGCAAGAAAAAGCGTGAATCTTGTAATAGAGGTTACTGTACTACCTGCAGCCAAGTGCCTGCGCCGGAACACCTTGATGAACCGGAAGAGGTGCTGCTGAACACGTGAGTATGCTGATGCAGATGCTATTACCTGACAGGGAACATATCTGATGCAGGCTGAATGTGAAATAGAGTATCTATCTTCGGTAAGGAAACAAAACAAAACAACCTGTATTGAAGTGAGTGCTCAGTATCTTGACTTTCTTCTGGAGGTTGTGTGATGTCCGAAGTAACCTCACTAGTTTTCCTGTGGAAAATCATATTTTTGAGTTTTTATCTTAATCTTTGCAGCAAATTTGCTAAATTTCTAAGCAAAGCATGGAAGTAGAAGCTGGTAGAGAAACTTGAATTTTGTCTTGAGAGTACCGGTCTAATTAATCAATGATGGTACCTAGTCTTAATGCATATGTGTGTGCGGTTTCTACTGTGTTGTGCTGTGTATGTAAGAAACTTAACAGTGCATCATCACTCAGTGAACGTCCAGTGCGCCGCCTGTAAAACCACTACACTATTGTGCGTTGAGTGACTTACTTCCTTGTGCTGTGCTTAGTCAGGTATGTCCTACTTGTGCGAGCTTCAATGTGTGCATTGAGTGCTCCCCCTAGACCTGAAACTGTTCCCTGTTTTCTTCCTTTTTCTTGCCCAAGCAAGCCTACCACAAAAGTTACCGGTCTCACCTTATTGTTCTATTTCCGTAATAACAGAAATACCTTAAAGAATCTTTTGAGCTCCAGAATGGCTGAATACGTTTGCTAGTCATTTAGTTAAAGGTAATTTATCATTTCTAGATCTTAAATCCATTCCTTTTCAGCCTGATATGCACCAACATGCCCAGGATAGTGTGACCGAGTCATGACATAATAATCTGATGTGTCTTTAACTATGTGGAATGCAGCCGACCATCCAACCTTCATTTACCTCCTGCTGGATCCTTGACTGTAAGAAGGAACAACGGTACTGCCACTACAATGCAGCGACGTGCTGGGATCAGGCATCACAGAAGGTGTGCATTCTTGTACTCGTTGCAAAACTCCGCATTAGGGAGTGAGTATTGAGTACGCTAAAAATCATGTTATCATATAAAACCTATGGTGGCACTATTCTTTGCATACACAAAACGCTTGCGTATGCTATACTAAATCTCTCTAGTACATCGCAGACAATACTTTTACAGGGGCGGCAGTTGGGTTGCTCTAGGGCAAAAGATTTGTCTTGAAGCATTATACGCCTAAATTTTGGGGAAAAAAAGAGGGCCTTGGAGCTCTTACTTTCAACATTCCTTGGGTGACATGGTTCCCCAAAAAACCTTTCCCAGGTTTCAGTTACCTCAAGCCACAGGAGCAGCTAATTATATCACTTTTATTGATTTTCCACCGCTGAAGTGACTTGCATTTTTTGTAAAACACTTTTGTGAGTGCAAACACGTTTTCTCTTGCTTAGGCAGCCAGGTCTCCGTGGCAGTGCAACAAAGCGTACCGAGCTCGTAGCTGACTGCTATAATGAAAAATTACAGCAGCAGATGCAGTTTGACCAGCAACAACACGATCTTCAAATGAAGATTTTAGAGCAACAATTCAAGAGGGAGGTCCAGCAGCAACAATTCCTGGAAGAGCAAAACAAGCTTCAGCTGAGTGTGCTTAGCGAACAGTTAAAATACTGGCAGCGAAAAAATCAGACAATGCCAGCACAGGACTAAAACAACCGTGATGGCTTGTGAGAGAAAAAAACATCTTTGTCACATAACTTCGTTCCAGGCCGTGTTTTATATTGGCAACAGGCACGTGTCTGTTTCGGTCTAAAACTTGGACAACACTACCTAGGTCATGCATAAGACGTGTTTTAATAGTGAAATAAAACTTTCAAATCATCTTCATTGTCTTTTTAAGCAGGATTATGTGACAAGGATGCTTTTGTTTACAGGCCACCAGAAATGTTTGATGTCCGTAGTGTTAACTTTGGTGGTACTCTATTTCTTCGACCAACATGTGCTTTTTTATTTTTTAATTTTTACTTCAGTCGCTTGTCAGCGCTTCTGTATTATGTGGTAGTGTAGTCGATACTGCACGACATGCACCTAATACCCCAAGTTAGTAGTTGTACTGCACTAGTACATTGTTCACGCCAGGGTGTCCCCATGCTTCTAAGGCAGACCAACTTCTCTTCGTCTAAACATTTATTTTGCTTGTGTTTCACTGCGTTGGCCGTGCTCTTTTCATGCTTTTCACCACTAGGTTTACATTTGTTTCATGTACCTGAAGAAAAATGGGTTTGTATGAACTGCGACCTGAATGCAGTTCCACTTGGAGGATCCTCGGGAGTTTCATCACTTTCGGAACTGGTGTCACTTGACTCGCTTGATTCGTAGTCCGTGTCAGAGTCTGAACTAAAATCATCCTCATCTAAAAGAAAAAAATGTAGGCCGCATTGAGTCGAGTTTAAAGTATGGATGTCTATTCCATTCATATTATGCAATCTTTTTACCGTTGTGGTCCTTGGCAATGTTGAAGAGCACACATGCCGCTACTATCACAGCCTTTGTTGTGTCTAAGGAGATTTCAAGTTTTCGGATAAGGCACCTGAACTTGTTTTTCAGTTGCCCGATCACTCTTTCAATGGCATTCCTTGTAGATTTGTGTCGTGTGTTGTACTCTTCTTCTGGACTATCTGGCCGTGCACCGAGGACTGGTGTCAAGAGATGCTGACTGCACGTATATCCGTTGTCTCCCAGTAGGAGGCCTGTCACTTTCTGTGTGTAAATAAGTATAAACTGCATAAACATTAAAATATGTTCACAAAAGAGATATGTGTCTTTATTTCAGAGTGATTGAATCCCAATACTTATTATTTTTTAAGGCTGGGCAGTAATGAGGCTACTATGTACCACTTTAGAATGTTTGCGAACAATAATCATAGCAAACACTAGCTTACCCCCTCTTGAAACTTCTCCCGAAGGGCACATTTCTCCCATATCCTTGAATCGTGAGCACTACCACGCCACCGTGCCACTACGTTGGTTATTTTCTCCTTAGCATCACAAACCAGCTGGAAAGGAAAATGCAGTGTTGTACGTAACATACTCTTCTTAAGTTGCCCCACCCAAAATACGTTTTAGGGTGGGTTGATAGTTTTCAAATAATTTAAAAAAGCCAATATTTGGTACGCTAACCTATCAATACCTTTTGCAAGTATGTTGTACTCATTTGCTACATTGGACGTAAGATACCCCCACATTTTTCATCGGAAGGCGGGAAAGTAAAAATATGACTAATGCAGTGCTTTGCGACCACAGGCTTTTTTTTTTCTTTTTTTTTTAGACACTCTTGGACCGAGATGCAGCACCTACCTCTGAGGTAGGTACTGCATCTCGGTAAACAAATGTGCCGCCTCAGTGTAAGCAGACACACGTCTCTTGGCAGGGCAGGACACCAAAGACATCTGCTGGCCGTTCAATTGTCGCTTTGCACGCCCCAAAGCGTTAGACACAGCCTAGAGTTTGAAGCAGGAATGCCTGTAAGCGAGCACCAGGGTACGTATACAAAGGCAGGGTGGAATGACGTATTCCTTATAGGCTCATAGCCAGGAAGCACTGCCACAAAACACTGGTAAAAGCCTATAGTAAACTGATGTTCTATTTCCTAGGAATCTGGAAAGAAAGGTGAAGTGACAAGGCACCTTTCTTTTGAAACCTCTAAAAAGTTTTTACTGGTTAGTGATTTAAATATATTCTACTTGAATACTTTTTTGAGAGATGAGTATTAGGTAGTTGCTGTTTTGCCTGGTACTCACTTATTTAACTTAAATACTCTATTTGGATATCGTTTTGAATGTCCACAACTAGCGTACTAGGAAAGGTGGAAATAAATTTGTTAGCTAACTCACTTGAACGTTTAGGACATGGAACTTCTTCCTGCAGATGTACAAAGCCTGCATTGGCCCTCCTGGATTCTTTATCCGTATGTGAGTGCCGTCGATAAGCCCAACCACAGAGGGAAACCCGTATCGTTCGAAGAAGAGCTGGATCGTGGAGCGCTGCTCCCTGCGGTTTTCAGGAAAGTGCACAAACTGGGCGCGTCTTCGCGCGAGAGCCCGAGAGACCCGACCTACGATCCGCGACTGGGTGGGCTGGCTGAAGCCGTGAATGTCTCCAGCGTCGTCTTGATAGCTGCCTTTCGCAAAAAAGCGGAGGGCGCTGAGGACTTGAAGCTCCGGCGAGATTGCGTTGTTCACCGAAGTTTCGTTGAGGTCTGACCGAAGCAGGTTCACAACAAACATCACAGTCTCCTTCCTCAGCCTGTACCGCCTTTTGAAATTGTCGTCGCTCCATATAATGAATGGGTTCTGCCGGTCGCGTACCGTACGGGGCATCACGCGAAGCGCTTGCACTTGGGAAAGCTCTTCGAGCTCGAAAAGATCTCGCAGGTCGGCCATATTTGCCCCTAAACGCCTACTAGTCGCCCGCTAAACTAGCCCTACCCCATGACTAAGATTTGTTAGTCGACTTCTTAGTCGCGCGGGGCGACTAGGCCCTAAACAAGACCGGTGAATACCAAGCGCTCACTTAGCGGCGACTATCGCTCGCCACGTGATCATTTTAGTCGATGACGTCACTAGTCAGTGGTTAAACAGGCGCTACTCGCGCCTGGTGAATACGGGTGATAATGTTTACGCGTTCTCCAGCCAACGAAACCATAGTTAAAGCCACGCGTTCGCGCCAGTAGCTTTGACAGCGTTTTATTGGCGACATGCACGACCGAAAGCGTCGCTTCCCACGATTGGCCGAACGCTGACTATGACGTCGGAAAGGGGATTTATCATCGACGCAAATAAGAGGAATGAAAGAACTTTAATTTTGACGGTGTTGGCAGTGTTCCTTTGAGAGCGCAATGATTTCAAGCTTTCACCATGCTATTTACAAACACCATCGAACTTGTTGTTTGCAAGGTAATGACGTCACAAGGGGGAACCATAGGAGGGCGCCACCAAAACATCTCGCCGCTAATAGACGACTGCAAGCGTGGCGACTGGCGGCCGCTATGTCTTGGCCCGAGCGGGAAAGCTCGTGCAATTGCAAGCTTGTCAAAGCTATGTTTACGTGCACGTTGCACTCGCTCGCACGAATGATGCGACCAGTCGGACGCCATGCTTGCAATTGTCTATATCAAGTAGGAAACCGAGTATAGGGGTCGTGAGACCAGGCACCGACGCGCGCCATGCATTGCTGTGAAGCGGCGAGCGTGGAAAGGTCTCAGACGTACGCAGTGGCGCTTAGGTAGCATCGGCTGGAGTATCCGAGCGTTCCGAGGGCCTTCGATGGGCGTATTTGGCTTGGCGGTTTGACAGCGCGAACTGGCTCCCGTTCAGGTCTTTCCCCCCGTGTTCTCCGCCGCTTATGTCGACTGAAGTGCAATGACGAATGGACGACGACGACGACGACGACGCCAGTAGCGCAGCAAATGCTACGCGATGCACGCGCTACTAGAGCCCATGCTTTAGTGGCGCCCTCTCGTGCCACAGCCCTGACCCGTGAGTGCTCGCTCAGTTCACCACCCCTCCTCGAGTTCACCTTTAGTCTACGCCACATCTGTCGACATGCATCATGGGAACCGGGGGGGGGGGGGGGGGGGGGGAGGACTGTAATATTTCTGCACTCGCGACAACCCCTCAAGGGGTTTGCGCGTGCAGAGCACGAGCCGGCGCGAGCTATCTCGTGCACAGGTGTTTCCGCTTGTGAACTACAGTAATGGCTGCGGCACGCATGCGTGAAACGTTTAGTGAGATTGGTCTATTAAGCTAAGTGGTCTATGTAAAACACACAGATAAACTACACATTTCGGGGAAGGGGAAGAGCGGGTGAAGTGCTTCTATGAGTAAAAGTTGGAGCTAGCCTCGCCTTCCGGCTGGTAATTATCCCGCCCGTAACTACGATGTACGTATAAATAGGATGTGAAAGCGGTGTTAGGAATCAAAAAGGCACAAAGCTGCTTTCGCGCGCGTTCATCTCGCTCTTAAAGAGACACTAAAATTAAAAAAAAAAAAAAGTTATATTTTTAAAGTTTAATTAGGACATATTTCATTTTTAATTGAAAACGAAAAAAAAAAAACATTTGAAGCAATATTTTCACCCTTTGTCGCAATTTAAGTGGGGTAGCCCTTCCCTAGGCCCCGCCCAGCGCTTACAAGACTAAGCACCTTTCCTCGGTTCTCACTGGTTGGAGAGATGTCTGACGTGTTAAATGCTGCTTGAAAAAGTTGTACCTTCGTGCCGTAATAGTATCTTAATCGGCAATTTCTTTTATTTTTGAGACACAAATAATCCAGATAAAGTTAGTATTGTTTTCAAAAGTATCCCAAGATATCCTTTTCCGCATTTGTGTGAAGCGATAACGAACATGGTTACCGGCGTCTGTGGAGTGCTCAACGCAAGTGAGGCTCCTCGCGAGCTCTTCTATTTTTATGAGTGCGTGTCGTTTTGCCTTCACCGATGTGTTTAGAGATATATTTCCTCTAGCAACATAGTTGAAACGAAACAACTGTCGCAAGTAAGCGCCTTTGGACGCGCTGTGCGGGTGCTTGTTTTCGTAACGGGACTGGCCTAAGCCTACAGCGGCCCACAACAACTATGTCGCTTGATCTGGCTTGATTTGTTCGTTTGTGTGTGTTGATGCTGAATAAAGACGTTGGTTCCCGGAAAAGCGGCCCCGCTGCTTGGTGAATTGTACAACTTTCGTAATTTCAACCCTGGTTTCAATACCGAAAAAATGCCTAAGCATGTAAGAATTTGCGAGTCATTCGGCTGGAGGCAATCCGACGTTCGGCTCGCATCAAGTTAGTCCAGGTTTGTTCCACTCATATCGCTTGAAATGGAAAGTAGCTCTCAGTTTTCGTGGTGTACCTGGCCTGGCAAAGGGAATATTTTTAGGTAGCGTTTTAATTGTGCGTCATGACGCTCACTCATCTTGCTCACGGATGCTGTGCGAAAAAAGAATAAAAAAATAAAAGCTATGACTGCATGTTTATTTTTTGCTGATTTTTGTAGTCCTCAGTTTTTACCGTGCATTGACTGACGCTGACGAGTGTTGCCAACTCACAAAAAAAATGCTGTAGGAATCTCAGAATATGGCTGAAAACCGCTAAAATATAGTCGCACACAATTTATTGGTAAATGTTTTCTAAGAACGGTAAATAAATAAAAGAGCCCTTAGAAAGGAGCTATGTTGTTCAACTCGGGTCGCTTCCATGCCCGGAACGATGTTCATTGAATGATTTCACATTTACCATGTGTTAACAGGTGTTACCTGGGTGATATCTTCTATGCCAGCCGATTTTAGTGCAATATATTGTGGCAGTTCAGAGCTTCAGTGACGAACTTAACAAATTTAGTAAAAGCTCGATTTCCAGGGAATGTGACTTGTACAACGTGTCTTGGAGCTTCCATAATCATTCATTTATTTATTCATTTATTAATCCTTAAGGGTCCTTTTTCGAGGACATTACATAAGGAGGGGGCAACACAAGAAATTATACAAGAAATAAAAAAAAAATCAACAACATAAAGATACATAACAACGCACACTCATGCAACGTAGCTAAACAAAACCTAACTTGGTGTGGAAAAATACAACATGATGGAGCTTTTCAAAACCACAGGGTCAGTTACTGTAATGAGCGATTCTGAAAGACTGTTCCAGTCCACAATTGTGACTGGGAGAAATGATTTGTTAAAGGCATTACTGGAACCCGATATACGCTGAAAATTGTAAGAGTTATTGAGCCGACGAGATGACCGTGCATGAGTGCACAGGAATGAGCTTTGAACAGTAAGATGGTAGTGGTAAAGTTTATGGAGTAAGCAAAGACGGTGCAACCTTGCGGCGTACCACCAGAGTTAATAAATTTCGGCTCGTTTTCATGGCAGAGACACTGTTTTTATAGTCATTGTTCGATAAAATGTAGCGGGTTGCTCAATTTTGAATTGCTTCGAGTTGGGTGATCAAGTAATTTTGGTGCGGATTCCATATTGTAGATGCATATTCCAATTTTGGTCGAATGAAGGTCCCGTATGCAAGTTTCCTAAGCTTTGGAGGAGCAGCATTCACGCAACGCTGGATGTAACCAAGGGTCCTTGCTGTGTCCGAAGAAATTGTGTTAATGTGATTAATCCATGTCATATCGGAAATTAGTACGACACTGAGATATTTATACCTATCGACTCCTTCAATGATCTCGTCGCCCAGCACATACTGCAAGGAGGAAGGAACTCTTTTACGAGAAAAGTGGATTAATTTGCATTTAGATTTATTTAGTGGCATCAACCAGTTATTACACCACTGAGATATATTGTCACGGGTGGTGACAAAAAAAAAACAGGAACTAAACAGGAAGAAATAAACGTTTAATGTGGCGAACTTGTGCCAAAAATAAAAGGGGTACAAAAGATAATAACAGAGCGTCGTGCGCGTCGAAGTCGGCGTAGCAGCAGAGTCGAACGCTGGGGCGAAACTGACTCCGCTCGCCTTGTGGAATACCTTATGTGCCCTCGTGGGTTTCCGGATCGTTCGGCGTAGAAGGTTCGGCGCGTAGAACATTTTAACCTCGAATCAGTAAGACGGTTCTCGAATTCACCAGAACATCACATTACAGTGTCAACAAAAATGTGTAGCCGCGGCCAGGAATCGAACCCTGGCCTGCGTTTAAGGCAAGCGCGATAACCGTTAGGCCACGCGCGCGCTGCCTACTTGGCCAGTTGCGCGCGCGGCATTACCCCCCTTTAAAAGGTGCATCGTCCCGATGCAACCCAAAAACAAAACAAAGCAAACAAAAAGAACGGTAAACTAAAGAGTCATTTGGAATACGTAAGGTCCACTGTCCTATCGAGTGTAGTACGGCTTCATGCGCACGACGTGGACGACTCCTGGTCGTGGAGGGCGGCGTGATGAAGTCCGTGTTCCGTCGGGCATCACCTCGTAGTTCAGATCCCCGAGTCGACGAAGCACTTTGTAGGGTCCAAAGTAGCGCTTCAGGAGTTTCTCGCTGAGACTACGGCGACGAATGGGAGTCCAGACCCAAACCCTGTCTCCGGGCTGGAAGTGGACGTCCCGACGACGAAGGTTGTAGCGGTCAGTGTCGATACGTTGTTGGGCTTGAATCCGGAGTCTGGCGAGCTGACGGACTTCTTCTGCCCGTTGGGCGACCACCTGGGCGTCGTCGCTTCCGTCGACAGTCGGTTCGTGGGGTAACATTGCGTCCAGCATTGTCGTCACTTTGCGACCATGAACCAGTTGAAAGGGTGTAACCCCGGTGGTTTCTTGCACGGCCGTATTGTAGGCAAAGGTGACGTACGGCAACACCTCGTCCCATGTCTTGTGCTCCACGTCGACGTACATGGAAATCATGTCGGCGATGGTCTTGTTGAGTTTCTCCGTTAGCCC